GAGAGCAAAGCCCCCTGCACCTACACACTGGAGCGCAGGCTGGATGGTACGTGGGGCTGCCTCCCATCCCCTTGGAAGCTGCAGCTGGAAAATGGGCTCACATCAGTACACCAAGCCAGGACAAAAGTGCCCAATGTCCTTTCTGTTCCCTGGGGATTGGTGGGGTCCTGGGGCAGGAGTGGGGGGGCAGGGGGGCTGCCCCTGGTGTATCCTCAGCTCACCATGCCCCTGTGCCCACAGGAGAGCACGAGTGGAAGATCATCAGCACTGGCATCATCGACTGCTACTTCAATGTGACAGAGCTGGCCCCCGGGAGCACCGCCAGGTTCCGAGTGGCCTGTGTCAACAAGGCTGGGCAGGGGCCCTACAGCACCCTATCAGCGAAGGTGCACCTTGAGGCAGAAGGTGAGCAAGCCCCTTCCAGCAACTTGTGAGGCTGCCATGGGGGTGGCTGTGGGGCTGCAGCCTCTGAGGTGCTCTGGGGGTCCTTGAGTCCTGGGGGATCTTCCCCCTAGGGCTTTGGGGAACAAGGCACCACTTGCACCCCGCTCCTGGCTTATGCCCAACTGGCTCATTCCTCCCTTTGCTCCCCACAGACGCCCAAGCTGCCCCAGCTAAGGACATTGCTGTCCCCATCCCCGAGAAGGTGGCTTCCAGCAGATCGACCCAGACACCCATGGGGCAGCTGGAGCCGCCAGCTGTGCGGCCCCCTCCCACCACACCGCCCCGCAAGCACAAGGGAGCAGTGCAGAAGGCAGATGGGGCAGAGCAGGAGGGTGCCCCCCCAGTGGTCCTCCAGCCCCCTGCACCCCGTGAAGAGGGGCCACAGCCAGACCCTGAGCTCCCACCCAACATCACTGTCTGTGTGCCCCCTGAGCTGATGTTCACCCCCCCTCGGACTGTCGCCTCACCCCACACAGAGACCCCCACCCAGGGCTCCCCCACACCCCCCACGGACACATCCCCGACACCCAAGGCTCCATCTCCTTCCAAGTTATCTCCCACTTCCCCAGTGTCGACCACCCCCAGCTCAGCCCCCACCGTGTCTCCCACCCCCAATGCTGTGCCCACACGGAAGATGCCCCCCTACATGGTCACCTCCTTTGTCTCCATGCCCCCCACATCACCCCCTACGCAGGAGACCACCCCCACCCCCCCATCCTCCAAGGAGCCTCCAGCCTCCAAGGAGCCTCCAGCTGAGGGTGGGGTTCCAGGGGCAAAAGACAGCACTGTGTTGCGGCAGGGTGTCCCCCAGAAGCCATACACGTTCTTGGACGAGAAGGCGAGGTGAGGAGCAGTGGGATGGGATGCTCTGCCAGGGCTGTCCCCCCCACCAGCACCTTTCACCAGGGATGCTGAGTGCCACCCTGTGCCACAGGGGCCGTTTCGGTGTGATCCGGCTGTGCAAGGAGAACGCCACGGGCAAGCTCTTCATGGCCAAGATTGTGCCCTATGAGGCAGAGCGGAAGCAGAGCGTGCTGCAGGAGTACGAGATCCTTAAGGCACTGCACCACGAGCGCATCATGGCCCTGCACGAGGCATACATCACTCCCCGCTACCTTGTGCTCATCTGTGAGAACTGTGCTGGCAAGGAGATCCTCTACAGTATCGTGGACAGGTACGGGTGGGTGCAGGGCCATGGGGGATGGGTGCCAGCACGGGGCTGATGCCACTTGCCATCCCCACCCCAGGTTTCGCTACTCAGAGGATGATGTGGTGAGCTACGTGCTACAGCTGCTGCAGGGCCTCGAGTACCTGCACAGCCGCCGCATCGTGCACCTCGACATCAAGCCAGACAACATCCTCATCTCAGGCATGAATTCGCTCAAAATCATCGATTTTGGCAGTGCCCAGACCTACAACCCCCTCGTGCTACGGCAGCTGGGGCGGCGTGTTGGCACCCTGGAGTACATGTGTGAGTGGGGCACCGGGTGTGGTGCATGGGGAGAGGGATGGGGCAGATATGGGCATGCTGGTGCCCAAGTGTGCCTGTGCACGAGGGTGCTTGGGAATGGGGAGGAGCTGAGGTATCCTTGGGGGAGCAGGAGCTTGTTGCGGTGCTGGGGATGTCTGCTGAGGGTTTCTGAGGGTTGCTGGGCTTGGTGGGAGAGTTTGTGTGCTGGGGGGCAGCTGGGTAATCCTTGCAGGTGCTAGGCTCTGTCAGGGTATTAGGGTGTGAGGGAGGGGTGCAGGGGGGTGCAGTGGTGGGGTGCTGTGGGTGCTGTGGATGCTATGGGTTCTGTGGATACTGGGGATGCTGTGGGTGCTGGAGATACTGTGAGTGCTCTGGGTGCTGAGGATACTGTGGGTTCTGGAGGTGCTGCAGGTGCTGGGGCTGGACCCCTTGGTGCATATGACAGACCTGCTCTTCTACCTGCAGCGCCAGAGGTGGTGAAGGGAGATCCAGTGGGCTCTGCAGCAGATGTCTGGGGTGTTGGTGTCCTCACCTACATCATGTAAGAGAAGGGGCTCGGGGGGGGGGGGGGGGGGGATGAGTACCCTGAGGTGTCATCAGCCCTGCCCAGGGCTCAGTGCCACAGGGAACACCTGGATGATAGTGGGCTGGGGGATGCTATAGCCCTGCAGACCTTTCCCAGCTAGACATGGGGATTGAGATGACCTGGACAGTTGTGGCTGTCCCAAACCAGGGATGGGGAGTCAGGTGCCCTCCCACCACTGCCCCCATCTTGTACCATCCCCTCCATCCTGACAGGCTCAGTGGGCGGTCACCGTTCTTTGAATTGGACCCCATTGAGACAGAGAACCGCATCCTGGCGGGGCGCTTTGATGCCTTCAAGCTGTACCCCAACGTCTCACAGAGTGCTGCCCTCTTCATCCGCAAGGTCCTTGCTGTCCACCCCTGGTAAGTGCCTGGCCCAGCCAGGGAGGACTTGGGCCTCTGGATGGTGCCTGCAACTGGGCCAGGTGGGCAGCTCCCTGCTCCCAGATGGAGCATTATCAATGTCCATCTAGGGTTCATCTGTGCTTCTGGGTGAGGGCTGTGGTCTCCTGAGCCCAGGGCCCTGGGATCCACCCCTGCTCCTGGAGAGGGCTGGGACCCCCTGGGTCTTACAGGGCAGGGTGGTGGCTGGGTTTCGGGGGTGCACTGGCAGCAGGCACCCTGCTACCCCTGACACTGAGCTGCCCCTGCCCCAGGAGCCGTCCCACGGTGAAGGACTGCTTTGTCAACACGTGGCTCCAGGATGCCTACCTGATGAAGCTGCGCCGCCAGACCCTGACCTTCACCACCAACCGCCTCAAGGAGTTCCTGGTGGAGCACCAGCGGCGCCGCAGTGAAGCTGTCACCAAGCACAAGGTCTTACTCCGCTCCTACCAGGGCGGCCAGCCACCGGGGCCACAGTAGCTAGAGCCTCGGCCACGGCCGTGAGGGGCCGAGGAGCCAGAGTAACATTCCAGGGGCCATGGGACAGGGCGGCTGAGGAGGAGCCAGGATGTGCTGGGATGAGCCCATGGACCTCATGCTGCCACCAAGGATGGTGGTGGCCAGCATAATTTTGATGGTGCCGAGTGAAAGGGGAAGTGCTGCCCCAGCCAGCCCGGCAGTGGGGTCTGGCAGAGGGCGGGCAGCGGGAAGCCTTGGTGTGAGGAACAGAGAATGTTGCAGAGGGTTGGAAGAAGGAGATGAGGACAGGAAGGGAAGGGAAGCCCCAGGCAGGAGCAGGAGAGACGCCAGCATGCCAGCCAGCCCTGGCCACACGGGTCCTGCCAGCCGTGTGCCTTAAGCCGCAGCCTGCAGCTGCCCCTGGCCACGGTGTGGGGGTCCCTGTGCTCCCCCCGGTTTGCACGCCAGTGCCCAAGGACTGAGGCTGCTCCAGTGGTTCCTGCAGCGAGGGGCCTGCTCACACCTGCTGCCCTGGATCTCACCAGCCGGCACAGCCCCACTCCTCATGGCTGGGAGCGGGGGCCGCCAGACCCCGCCTCCCACTCCTCCCAGCCCCGGTCCTGGAAGCGGGTTTGTGGCCCCAGGACCGACGCCGGTGCCTTCCCTGGGGCTGTCGGTTGCACCCTGTATTGGGGCAGGGTGTCTGGTTGGCACCCCTCTTTGCAGGGGGACACCACGTGCCATGCACACCCCCTGCGCCTTCTCAGGCCCAGGCTGCTCGTGCTCTGCGTGCCTGGCTCTGGCCCTTGCCCTATGCCCCACCACCAGCCCACCCCCCCAGGCCTCCTCACACATCTCCACCACCAACCCCCACCCCAAACCCCGGTGCCATTGCACAGCCCCGTGCCCCTTCCCCGGCTGGCAGCAGGATGCTCTGGGGTGCCCTGGGCTGGGGACAGGGCAGCGGCTGGGCACCCACCTTCCAGATGCTGCTGTAGCGATAGGGCTTTATTTATTGACTTCCGGGAGAAGGCGCCTGCCCAACCCCATCTCCATCCCCCTCGCCATCGCCATCCCCATCCCTTTCCCTATCCCCATCCCCTTCTCCGGACTTGCCGACGTCTGCGTGGTTTGGAGCAAGCGACGCGCCAGAGCAGCAATAAAGACCCTGAGCAGCCGGTCACGTCTCCGTGCCTCACTTGGGGGGGGGGGGCGGGAGCAGAGCACTCTCGGGAGGACCCTATACCAAAATCCAGGGACGTACAGCCAGGAGGGCATCCAAGTGGCGCCCGGCAGAGTGGGAGGCCGGCTCATGGAGTGAAAATACCGGGTGCAGGAGCGCACGGCGGCGGCACCGGGGCCGGTCTCAGGCCGGGACTCAGCCGGTGCAGGCGAGCGGTACCCGGCTATAAATACACGCTGCCCATATGAGGCCGGGCGGCCGCGGTGGCTGCTCCGGTTACAGACCGGCCGGGTCCCGTACCCCGGGTCCTCCTCCACCGGTCCCCACTTCAGCCTTCGGGGGCCCGCCCCGGTTCTCTCGCCACTGGAGCGCCCCCTGGCGGCCCGGCTCCGGCAAGCACGGCCCGCGGCGCGGTGACGTAGCGAGGGGGAGAGCGCCCGGCGCGCTGACGTGTGGGCAGCCACGTGTGCGGAAGCGGGCGGGCGTGATGCCGCTGAAGGCGGTGATCCTCATCGGGGGCCCGCAGAAAGGTGAGTGCGCGGGGCCCGCGGGGTCCCCCGCCGCCGCCGCCGGGCTCTGCCGAACCCGCTGTGCTCCGCAGGGACCCGGTTCCGGCCGCTGTCCTTCGAGGTGCCCAAGCCGCTCTTCCCGGTGGCCGGCGTGCCCATGGTGCAGCACCACATTGAGGCCTGCGCCAAGGTACGGCGGGGATGGGGGCTGAGGGGAACGGGGGACCGGGGGCACCCGTCCCACCCGTTACCTCTGCCCTCCCCAGGTGCCCGGCATGAAGGAGATCCTGCTGATGGGCTTTTACCAGCCCCACGAAGCCCTCAGCCGCTTTCTGGTGTCGGCACAGCAGGAGTTCAAGATCCCCATCAGGTGGGCAGGAGCCCTTGCACCCCCGGGATACCCGTGGCAGCACACCTGCCTCCCCAGGCTGGCAAATGCCAGCCAGCACCCAGGCACTGGACAGGTGGGCCCTGTCCCCCCCACAGATGGGCATAACTACCACTCTGATATTAGCTCTGCCAAATTTTCTTGCCCTGGCTGGTTCTTGCTGCAAGGATGCCTCCCCAGCCCGGTTCCAAGCCATCTTCCCCTCCTTTGGTCTCCTTCCCCTGTGCCAGCATCCACATGAGCCCCATCACTACATAGCAAGATTATATCCCTCCAGCCGCTGACAGCCCTTCCCTGTCCTGCTGTTGGTTTGTGCCACCAGACACCCACTTCCATAAGCCCTTGCTTTTCCCTGCTTGGCTCGCAGGTATCTCCAGGAGTATGCGGCGCTGGGCACGGGTGGTGGCATCTATCACTTCCGAGACCAGATCCTGTCAGGTGGTGCTGAGGCCTTCTTTGTCCTCAACGCAGACGTGTGCTCAGAGTTCCCCTTGCAGGAGATGCTGGAGTTCCGGCAGCAGCATGGGGACGCGCACAGCTTTGTCATTCTGGGTACCACAGTGAGTGGCAGTGCTGGGGAGCAGTGGAGCTTTGCCATTGGCTTGTCTAGGAGCCAACGGCTCCTGCGGTGGATGGGTGCCTGGGTGAGCTGTGGGTCTCATCTGCTCTGCATGCCTGCTGCTCCGCCACTGCTAACATGTCCTCGCTCTGCAGGCCAACAGGACGCAGGCATTGAATTATGGCTGTATCGTGGCAAATGCAGACACTCAGGAGGTACTGGAGAGCCCTGGGCAGCGGGTGCTGCACTGCCTGCATGGGCATGTTCCCAGTGTGCCACAGAGGAGTGACACCAGGGACGAGGGCTGCACCCTGGGACTCGCGTCTCTTCCCCCATCTGCAGGTCCAGCACTATGTGGAGAAGCCCAGCACGTTTGTCAGTGAGATCATTAACTGCGGCATCTACCTGTTCACACCTGCCGTTTTCCAGCACATTGGCGAGGTCTTCCAGAGAAACCAGCAAGACCTAGTGCTGTGAGTGCCTCTCTGTGCCCCGTGTCCCTCCCACCCCACTGCTTCCCAGGGCTGCAGCAGCACACTCATCCTCCATTCTTTCTCTATCTTCTCTTCTCCTCTGCCATCACTCACTTGTTTCCTGGTCCTGCACCAGCTATCCTTACCGTGAGTAAGTCTCCCTCTGTGTCTGCACCGGCTGCTTTCAAGGCTGGATTGTCCCTGGCAGTACCACATGCTTTCCTCCCTCCTCCAGCCTGCTCTGCAAAGCTGCTTTTGCCTCTGCTCCCCTCCTGGCTAGCTTGAGACTCCCCCTTTCCCTCCCTTGCGTCCCACCCCATCCTCATTCAGCTCTGGACAAGGGGCAGAGCAAGCCTTTCACCTGGGAATGCTCTGCTCCCCCATCCAGCTCCTTGCACCAGACAGATTGTCACCTGACTTCTCTGCCACCACCCAAGCAACAGTCCAGCTGAGCAGGGCTCTGGAGCGGGGGCAGGATCCGTTGCTCAAACACCCGCTTGGGCTGGGTGGGGGCTCTTGCACCATCAACATCTGGCTCAGAGCTTATTTTAGCTGTCAGAGCCTGGTCCCTCTGCTGCTCTAGAGCTCAGTGGGGCTGGACAAGCCTAGCCTGATGGCTGGGGCTGTCCGCACCTCTGGGGAGAAGTACATGGCTAGGTAGGAGGCTAGGATCAGCGAAGCCCTTGAATTTGGGGAGGGTACCTGTTGGGGTCCCTGGCTGAGGCCATGACTGGGTGGGTGTCTAACAGGCCTCTTGCTTGCAGAGAGGAGAGCTCCAATGGCTGGCAGCGTTCAGAAGTGATCCGGCTAGAGCAGGACGTGTTCACAGCACTGGCTGGGAGGGGCAAGCTGTATGTCTACAAAACTGATGGCTTCTGGAGCCAGATCAAGTCAGCTGGGTAAGGGCTGTGGCTAGAGGTGGTGCAGCAGGAGCATCAAGTGATCTGTTTCAGGGATGGGAGAGGAGGGCGACCAGGCAGGGAACTGGGGGTGGGTGCAAGTGCTGAATTTGGACACTCCCCTGTTGTGATTAGTGCTGGAGAGGCAATAACAATCTTATGTTTTCCCTACCCCAGCTCTGCTATTTATGCCAGCCGCCTTTACCTGAACCAGTACAGCAAAAGCCACCCAGAGAGGCTGGCCCAGAACAAACCTGGAGGCCCTATCATCCGAGGTATCTCTCCGACACCCTCCGCCACCTTGGGGGCTGCCTGGGGAGGCAGTGGGACCCATGGGCAGGACCTCCCCTGATCTGAGAGGTGGGTAATCCTGCCTCCCTGATGCAGCTGCCTTGTGTTGCAGGGAACGTGTACATCCACCCAACGGCCTCCATCGACAGCACTGCAGTGGTGAGTGCAGGTCTGGGGGGCCCTGTGGCAGGGCAATGCTCAGGGATGCTGAGGGCTCCATTGTCCTCAACCTCATTACCTCCCTCTGTCCTCACAGCTGGGCCCCAATGTCTCCATTGGGGAGGGGGTGACAGTGGGAGCTGGTGTGCGCGTGCGAGAATCCATAGTCCTGCATGGTGCCTCACTCCATGTAAGTAGGGATTGCCTGAGGGTGCAGGTGTCAATTCCCCTCCCCTTGCAGGGAGGCAGCAGCACCCTTCATCCTCCTCCCCTGTGACCCAGGACCACACCTGTGTCCTCAATACCATCGTGGGCTGGGACAGCACCATTGGGCGTTGGGCACGGGTTGAAGGAACGCCCAGTGACCCCAACCCAAACGATCCCTATGCCAAGATCGACAGTGAGACCCTTTTCCGGGACGGGCGCCTCACACCATCCATCACCATCCTGGGTATGTCCCACCTGCACCCAGCCCCACACAGTGAGGCTTCCCTCGGGCTAACCCCTCACGCTCTATCTGCAGGCTGCAGTGTCACCATCCCTGCTGAGGTTGTTATTCTTAACTCCATCGTCCTTCCTCACAAGGAGCTGAGCCGCAGCTACAAAAACCAGATTATCCTGTGAGTCAGCGGCTTGCTGGGGGGGGGAGGCAGTGCCAGCCCCCCACCCCCTGTCTCCCCCACCGCAAGAGCCTGTGCTGAGGCTTCACCTCCTGGGAGGTTCCCAGCACCCCCAGCGGGGTAGGTACAGGCCAGGAGACCTACAAGTGCCTGACTCCTACTCCAGTCAGACATTAAAGCTGGTGACCATCAGCCTTGCATGCTGCTTCTCTTGCAGCCCAGGGACCAGCAGGGTGGAGGCTTCAGGGACAGCACGTAGCCTACGCACCAGGCTGTGTACCTATGCAGGGAGCCCTGGGCTAAGGCTGGTGAGGAATCGCTGCCTGCAGTGTCTTGGGTCCTAACTTTGGGTGTTTCTCCACCAAAGGGTACTACCAGCACTGTCTTGACACTCCTCATCCTACATCAATTGCTCTCTGCAAGTCCCTGGAAGGACTTTGCCCATCTCTGAGGCTGGGGAGCTTTCAGTCTTCCTGTCCTGTATACGCAGCTCAGCGGGCTGGAGCCAGGCGTAAGGATCCCGATTTCAGCAATGTGATTGCAACAGCCTGAGCTGGGGTCCTGCCTACTTCTGGGAAAACAAGAGCAGCACTAGGCTTGTCCTAAGGGCACTGGCACAGGAGAAGGGCTGGGTTGGCAGGCTGCTGGCCCTGGAGGGAGCTGCAAAAGCACCCCTTCCCCAGCACCACTTCCACCCCCAAGGGCTCAGGATGAGCTGAGAGAGCTGCCAGCCCTGCCCGCTCCCATCAAAGTGAGAGGTGTGCAGGTTCAGGGTGATGGTAGCAGACACCTGCCACCTTGGTGGGCCAACAGTCTCCTCTGCTCCAGTATGGTTACAGCCTGTGGGCCTTGTTGCATGACTCCCCTTGCACCAGCCACAGGGCAGCAGAGCAATCAACTTACATATATGTGCAGAGATCTACTGTCTTGCTGTCTCAACAAACCAGCCTTTCTTGAAGGCACAGTCTGTCAATGGTAACCAGCACTGCCCTTTATACACCTCCCCATCTTTGGCTCTGGTTTTGGAGCTCTGTGCTAAAGCCCTTTACTTCACGGAGGGCCCCCATCACACCTCTTGCCTTCAGCAAGGTACTGCAGTAGAGATTCTTATCCATCCCGTACCACCCCAGCTTGACAGATTTGCAGTAAATCCTTGCTCCCAGCTCTGTGCCTTCCTGTGCCAGTTCTCCTGGGGTCCTGGGCGGAGATTAGCTCTTCCCTGGCTTTAAGCACATTAAATTCGTTCAGTTTTGTCTCTGCCTTGAATGTGCTAATTTTCTTGCCCATTGGTGAACAACAGTGGGCTGTAGGAAACTGAGCCAAAGTACTTGCTTTCAGGATTGTACATGAGTTTTCCATATCCTACATCAGGCCTGGCTTTTAGAGCAAAGGTTTGCCCAAGGCAACTCTCAGCCCTGTTGTGTAATGCTCCTTTTGCCCAAGTGCCCCTTGCAGGGGCTGTCCCTTTGTGCAGTTGTCTGGGGAACAAGCCCTACCTGGGCCCTTGCTCTACTACAGCCTCGTCCAGCTTCCACCTCTTGGAGGGAGAGAGCTGCATCCGAGCCCTGCCTGAGCTTTGCAGCTCCAGCGGTGGAGGGGAGGAAGGAGTTAAAGGGGCCTCAGCTGAGGTGCCAGGAAGTCTGGAAACACTTTAAGGTTGGCCTGCCCTGAGCAGCAGCAGCTCTGATTACTTGAGGCTAAGATATGGGGCCTCCCATATCCTCAGCTCCAGGGCAGGGAGAGGAGGCTCTGACAGCCCTCCTCACCCAGCAAAAGCAGGGATCGGGGGGAGCACTGCTCCCCTTTGCTGTCAGTACGGCTCTCTGCTGTCCAGCCTGGCTCCATCATGCCAGTGGCCCCCAAAACCCTGGCACCAGCAGGGAGGGGTAAACAGCAACTGGAGCCAGGCTTGTTTTGTTGCAAACATTTAATACAAATCATACCCAAAATTTCCCACCACTAGAGGTAGGCAGAGCCAGCCATGCTCTCCCATTCCCACACAGGGAAGCAGGGGCTGCCTGGTCCCGCAGGCTTCACGCCTCCAGTGCCAGCTCCATGCCCCTGGGAGCCTCTGCTGCAGGAGGCTACACGGGAGAAAAGAACTTGCCCACCTTATCTGGGGCCGGCCGTTGCCTGCGTGGGGAGAAATGAGTCAGTGGTGCACAGCAAGCCCTGCACCCCTGCTCCCCAGACACCCATCCCCATAGCACTCACAAGGGCTGAGCTCCCATGCCCACACAGCTCCGCAGGCTGCTGGGGAAGCAGCCGGAGCCCGGGGGGCTCAGCTGGTCTGGCTTGGGCTCCAGGGAGGTGACGGGGTGGAAGAATGGCGCTGCAGGACAAAAGAAGGGGTGGTTATTGCACCTCAGCCCAGATGCAGGCACCCAGCACCCTTCAGCAGCAGCCACAGGGCAGGGAGGGGGCTGCATCTCACCGTGTTCACCCCTTGAAGCTGATGTTGGCACCAAGTTCTCCTGCTCTGTCCCCACGAAGCCTGTCCAGAAGTCGGGTGGCAGCGAGAGGAGCCGGGCCACCACCTGGGTAGAGAGGAATGGAGGATGAGGATAGTGGCAACACCTGGGGTACACCCCACACTTCAGGGCCCCTCTCACCTTGCACTGCCGCGGTGCATCCTCCAGTATGGCAAGTGGTGTGGGGCTGGCCGAGCTGTGTCCCACCAGTGTAGGGCCAAACACCCGGGAAAGATTAAGCACATCCATCTTGCACTCGGGGCTGCGCGACACTCTGTGAGAGGGGACAGAGGTGGGACAGACAGAGCTGCCTGACCAAGGGGCCCCTCAGCCCAGCTTCCCTACTTGGGCGTGGATACAGGGATAGATCCCATGGCAGGATGAGCCACTCACCTGAGCAGATGCAGCATGAGGAAGGCCAGGGTGTCCCTGTTGGCACGGGGCAGCTTGCTCACCACATGGCGCAGAGCTGTGCTACAGGCAGCATCATCTGGGATGTCTGTGGTAGCACCATGGAGCAGTGTTAGCAGAGGAACAGCTCTTTTCCCCCCATCTCAGGACCCCTGCTTACCTGCAGCCTGCAGGAAGGCAGGGTGGAGGCTGAAGGTGACTAGCGGCTCCTTGAGTCCCCGTAGAAAGTCCTTGAGCACCCCGCACACCACGTGGATGTCAGCCACGCTGCTGAGAGCAGGCAGCATGCCCCCAGCTCGCAGCAGCTTCTGCTTCCACTCCCGCACCAGCTGCTCTGTGCCTGGCACACGGTACAGCCCTGTCTGGGGTGCAGGGAGAGGGGCTCAGCCATGTGGGGACCACAACATCACCCCTGCCACCGCACTGGGCCCTACCTCCATCAGGCCTCGTGTCTCCACCTCGGTCACACACTGTACCACCAGCGCTGGCACCAGGGGCGGCGTGGTGGGGGCAAAATCTGCCACCACACCCTGGAGAGGACAACATTGACCTGCTCTGCATCGGCCACCCAGCAACAGCCAGGACAGGCAGAGCCCCGGTATCAACCACGTGGCAGCCCCACAGGGACAGGGCAGCCCCCCAGCACTGCTGTACCCCCCTCACCTCACGGGGCCAAGCATGGTGGCGAGGCCGGGGCACACAAGGGCTGGGGCACTGCTCCTGGCACTTGGGGTGCAGCAGCAGCTGGCACTGGTGGCACTTGATGGCAGCCTTCCCAAAGCGCATGCGGGAGCCGCACACACCGCATGGCTCAGGGCGGATCACCTGGAAAGGGGGATCAGGGTCAGGGCCCCCCCTTCTTGCAGATAACCCAGTACCACTCCTTCATCCCCCCAAACCAGCCCCCACTGCCTCCATCCAGCCCATGTGCAGGCAGAGGTGGGGTGGAGGAAAACTGCTCCCACTGCCTGGCTCCTTTCTCCATAGCAGCCAAGAGAAGGGAGGGAGGCTGGGACACACACCATTTTGGAAGTGAACTGGTGCTGGAGGGGTGGAAGGCCTGGTGGAGGTGAGAGGAAGGGGGCTGGTGCTGGCTGCCCTGTGGAGCTGCTCTCTGTGTGGCTCTCCTGCACTGCAGCATGGCAGCCCGGATCCTCACTGGTGCCCCACACCGTGATTGGTTCTGCAGAGAGAGAATGCAGTGGAGGAGACCCTGAAGATCAAACTGCCCCAACTACCAGCTGAGATGTGGGGAGGTGTCCCACCTCCCAAGGAATCCCTGCAGATCACAGCTGCCCTGGGACAGCTGCATTTGGCATGTCCAGAGGACCCCAGTACCCCCATGGTGGGGACAAGCATCCCCCAGCAGATCCCCTCCCTCCCTTGTGACAGCAGCACCCTGAGGCTGGTTCCATACCACCACCAAGTCCCCTCCTCAGCCCTTCCCATGACCTGCACGTAAGGAGGCACGATGTCCCTGGCGAGACCGGCGGCGTGGCAGCAGAACTGCAGGTGGGAGGCTGCCAGCAGGGTGTGGGACCTCGGAAGCAGGGGGAGCAGGGGGGACAATCGCCTGCAGAGATGAGGGTCAGTGAGAACATGCCCAGATGCAGCCCACAGTGCTCCAGCATCTCCCCATCAGCTCTGCTCCACCTGCTTCCCATCCCCACAGTCCAGCACAGCCAGGGATGCTGCCCCCACTGCGACCACAGTGAAGGGCACAGGCACCCAGAGGAGACAGCTGAGCACCTGCAGACCTGCAAGACTGAAGGTTGCAGCATTGCTTTCTGGCACCAGGGCAGCCCATATACCCCAGCCCTGCCCAGGTCACACTGGCATCCCTACTCACAGCATTGAGGGGTGCCACAGAAGAACGGCGCCGCTTCACCATCACCACAGGGCCAACCTGAGGGGCCAGGGACATACGCTGGGGACAGAGAAGACTGGGTGAAGGGAAGGCAGGCAATCTGCCCGCCCTCCACCCTCCCAAGCCAATTGGTCTGAGTCCCCAAAAAGGTTCTGATCTTCCCATGTTGCCCAGCATTGCCTGTCCCATACCAGGCACCATGGGGAACTAGGCCTCCTGCCTGGGACAGCACCAGCCCTGGGGCTGGGGGAGCCAGGCCAGGGCTGCAATGCAGAGGTGTGAGCAGAGTGAGGTGCAGGATGCCTGCACATGAGAATGAATTATTGAGGAGCTCAGCTGGGCCACAGTGGAAGGTAATGGAGTTTCTATTGATTGCGGGAGGTTTGCTGAGAAACCAGCAAATGCTCCCAGCCCAGCATCAATAAATTAAACCCCCTGCCAGGCTCCTTGTAGTCTCCTGTGCTGGGATGGAGGAGTATCTGGGTGCCCTAACCCCATATGGCCCAGGGCCAGCAACTCAGCCTGGGCCGCATGGGCAGCAGGTCCCACAGGCACAGTGCAAGAGAGCAGAGCAGACCTAGGGGATCCTCACTAATAGAGGGGCACAGTCCCTACCTCAACACCAGTCCCCAGGGCTGCCACATCCTAGCATTTCCCTCCTACCTGCCTCTCCTGGGATTTGCGCTTCAGGGTCCTCACCACTGTCGTCATATCAACATCCTGAAAGGCAGAGGGAAGGCTGGGGCTGGCAGGGCTGTACAGGGCCAGAAAACCATCCAACATCCATCCGTGGCTCCAACAGCCACCTGGGGCAGCCCACCCCTAACCATGGCAATGCAAAGGGGCTGCCCCACTACAGGAGTGGGGCAAACCACCCGCTCACTGCTGGGGAGAAGCCAAACCCCAGGACTTTCAGGGGGTCATTCCTTACCACATCATCCTCAGTACGGTCATAACTGATATCTGAGTGGGACAAGAGGGACTGGCATGATTCATCCACTGCAGATGACCTACGGAGTGAGCTGGTGATCAGCCAGGCCAGGGTAACCCTCACAGTCCCCCAGCAAGCACCTATTCATACAGCCACTCCTGGGAACCCATGGCTGATGCCCCTGCAGAACCCCAGCACCCTAGAGCCCAGCAGACGGGAAGGGGAGAGGAGTACAGCCAAGCCCAGGGATGCCCGAGAGGCTGGGGTAAAGACTACTAGCCCTGCTCACCTCCTGCCCGGTGCCAGGGGGGCCCCGAGGCGCCAGCCAGCCAGGGCACTGAGAACAGAGCACTGCTCCCCGCTCAGCACTTTGTTGCCCCCCGGCTCCCCCATCAGGAACTCGATGACCAGCTGAAGTTTGCGCTCCTGCAAGCAAAAGGGGGCGCTGATGAACAGGCTGGGGTGCCTGCAGCCAGCCCCACGGGGTACCCCTGCGCCCAATCCTCCAACCTGCTTCTCCAGCTCAGCCTCTGCCCGGAACCGCTTCTTCATCTCCACTTCCACCTGGTTGCGGGCGTGC